CCAAAGAGTGGTGAGCTGCCAGGCGGCTGGCCCTGTATCAGGTCTCTGGCTGGCTGTTGGTGATGTCACCCCCAAGTGTCCTGAGCCCTTTTGTGCTGGCCCAGGCCGCCCTGCCGTCAGCGGGGACTGCTGGCCACGCCACACTGTCCTGTGTGCAGAGAGGAAGGAAGGGCCACCACTGAGGATGGCTCGCAAGGAGGACAGGGCCACCACAGGGAGCCGCCTCCCCCCAAAGCCGCGGTTCCCGCCCTGCCACCTCACAGAGCAGTGCTCCTGCAGCAGAGCCGCCCGGCACCCCAGCCGGGCCCCAGGTGGCCGAGGACCCCGGCTTCAGGCTGCTCCTGGAAGAGAACACGTTCCAAGCCCTGGCCCAAGAGCCTCTGCTCAAGAGGCCCCGCACCGCGGAGGACGCGCTGTTGGTGGCAGGTGGCAACCTGCTCTGTCTGCCCTTTCCCAAGAAGCTGTGGAGGCTCCTCAACAGCAGCCGGTTCAGGTCCATCTGGTGGGAGAAGGACGGGACGAGCATCGGCCTCAACGAGAAGCTGTTTCAGAAGGAGATTCTGGAGCGGGACGGGCCCGACAAGGTGTTTGAGACCGACTGCACGAAGAGCTTCATCCGGCAGCTGAACCTCTATGGATTCAGCAAACTGCGCCAGGACGTGCACACATCCGTCTGCCTCACCAACCGCTTCACCGGGGGAGTGGGAGCAGGGCCGGTCCATGTCCTGAGCAAGGTAACGGTGCCCCTCGGGCCCCGCCGAGCAGAGCCGTGGGCACTGGGGGGCTGGGGCTGGGGCCAGGGGGCTGGACACCCCGGGACCGCCACCAGGGAATCAGGGCCCGTGTCCCCGAGGGACCGACGTGTGGCACCGTGGAGCGAGTCCTGGACGAGGGCCCAGAACAGTGCCCAGCGGGTGGGGCACTGTGTTCAGATACCACGTGAGGGACATGTGGGACCACCATGTGGGCGACGCTTGGACAAAGTGGCATGTCTCCGGCTAGGGGGCAGCTTGCATTCCATGCTCCGGTGGCTGAGCTCCGGGCCCCGGTCCGCCAGAGGTGGCTGCGGGCTCCAGTGAAGTCCAAGGCCAGGTGCTGAGGTTCCTCACCTGGTCCATTCCCAGCACTTCAGCTACATCAACGGCGGAGGTCGACCGCAGCCCCGCAGGCTGGTGCACCAAAGGAGCTTGGCATGTGGGGACTGACACCAGATGGGTCTCGGGCTCCGGGCTCTTGCTGGGGTGGGGGGGACAGCCGCGGGGTTTGGAGAGAACCTTCAGGAGGAAGGCCTCTGCGGGGAAGTGTGCACCAGCAGGTAAGTGTCAGAGAGGCCCCACCAGCGTCTCGTCCATACCTCCGGCTCAAGGAGGTCAGTGGCGTGGTGACAGGTGCAGGGACATGCCCCAGGCCACCTCTTTTGGCCCAGCGCAGGTCCTCAGAAATGGTTGGCAGGCCATGTTGCTGGGATGGACCTCACCGCCAGGTCCCCGAAGGGCCGGGCCCACTGTGCTCCCTAACGCTCCGGGCAAAGGAGCCTCCTCCTCCCCAAGGTGGTCCTGGCATAAAGACCAAGCTGCTCTTCGGGAGCCCCCAGACTGCTCAGTGACCTCCGCCACTCAGGATGCATGGGGGCACAGCGAGGGAAGTGGGGGGCCCCGGACCTCCGTCAGGAGGGTCCTCGCGGGGTTCAACCCAAGTATAGGCCAGAGGCAGCCCCGGCCTCCCAGGACCCCCGTGGACGCCACGGGGAGGCCGGAGCCCCATTGAAGGTCTCCCGCCCTGGGCGGGATTTGGTGACTTTCCCGGCTTTGACGCGATAGCAGGTGATGAGTCCAACGGTGGGCAGGGGAGGGGTGTTGAGCCCAGGGACCAAGGATGGTACATCCACCAGATGAGATAGACTAGCCCCAGGTCTCTCCTCTTGGCATCGCTCACTCCTGCCAGTCACAGTCCCACAGCTAGTGGGGTCGGGCCCTCCTGGGACACCTAGCAGAGCCCCAAAATGACCTCGCACAGACCAAAGTCGCGAAGGACAGATGGCTACCGATAGAACCCTATAGAATCAGGAGGCGTCGCCACCCTGTGTGAGGGACCAAGCTGAGTCCTCTTCCAAATTGCTCTGGTGCAGCACTAAGCCCCAGGGCCACTGGATGTGCCTAGAGGGCCCCTAGAAAGGGGGGAGGGTGACCGAAACCATGTGGGTCATTGGCCCTAATCCAGCAGCACTAGCATACCCAGGAGAAGCAGAGGACACGTGGACATCTGCCTCCCCGCCCCACCTGCACACAGAGGCGGGGCACCGGGAGAGACCCAGCGACACGAAGGCCTTCTCTGAGCCGGGACGAGAGGCTTGCCCACCCCGGAAACCGAATGTGTAACCCCTGGTTCTTGAACTGGGAGCCTCCAGACCTGCGAGAACATGAGGGGCTGTGGGGACACGGCCGGATTCCCACACAGCAGAGCCCAAGTTGCCCGGAGCTCAGGAGGGGAACCCATGCCTCACCCAGCACCAGGAGACCCTGGGGCCGGAAGACAGCTGTGCCCATCTGTCCCCAATGTCACAAAGCGTATGTTCCCTGGCTGAGGTGGAAGGAGCGTGGTCCTCGACCCTGGGAGCCCTCATGTGAGTTTTCAAAGAGCTGGAAGTCAAGCATCCACTCCCACATGCCTGAGCGTGCGTGTCCCGGCTGCCAGGACAAAAGTCATGGGTTCTCTCCCAGATCTGAAGCCCGGGAGTCGAAGGGTACGGTGCCAGCAGGCTCCTGACCTCTCCGTTCCTTCCGCAGGTGGCCACGCTCTTGCCCCCTCTGCACACGGTCCTCCGGCATGTGTGCATGCACGCCCCAGGTGCTGTCGCCTTCCCCACGTCCCCACCTACTCTTCCTGAGGACACTAGCCATATGGCATTAGAGCTCACGTTGACTGCCTCCCTCTGAACCCAGTCAGCACGTGGAAGGTCCAAAGTCCAGCAACACACACACTCGGAGGTGCGGGCGTATGGTGGCAACATGTGAATCTGGGGGCACGGCGATTCGGTCCCTAACAATGACCAGCGGACACCCCGGGAGTCAACAGAAAACTAGCAAATGCTTTGACATGAACAAAAACCCCAGCAGGTTTGGCGAAGCTTACGGGATGAGGCCAAAGCAGCCCTGAGAATTCTCCAACTATAAAGGCCCAACAACATAAACACAAACCCCACACACCTAGCCCTCAACACCGGGAAGCTGGCCAGGGAGCAAAGCGAACCCTAAGCAGGCACACGGAAGGCAGTGAGAGAGAACAGAGTGCACAGAGGTGAAACAGAACAGAGACAACAGGGCGCCCGGCTGGCTCCGCCAGGGGAGCGCAGCTCTGACATTGCAGCCCCACCCTGGGTGGGAGACTCCCTGCACGTAAAGGCCTTACAAAGACAAAGGAAATACAGAGAAGATTGAAGTGAACAAATGTTTGTTCTCTGAAAAGATCAAGAGACGAGAACCACCTTTAGCTAGACTCACCGAGAGAGAAAGAGCATTCGAATTACTCCCAATCAGTCTTAAAGGTTGCTCACCCTGTGGGTCCCAGTGTGTGGCATCTGGAAAAGGCTGAATGACAAATCAGGTTGAAAAGATGGGCTAGTGCCGTGGGTTTGGGCAAAGGGAAGAAAGACCCGATGGCGGAAGGCCGGAGGTATATTAGGACACTGAAACCATTTGGTGCCACCCTGTCCCTGTGGCTTTATGGTATCATCCACTTGTCTAAGCCCAGAGACCGTAAGCACGAGAGCGTCACGGTTCCCCCCACGACCTTGTCCTCTATTCCCACACCGTGGCCACACCCCAAACACATCTAGCACTTCTGTGGGCTTTCCCTCCCCCACCCCTCGCACCAAGCGATTCCCTGCAGCACCAGCTGGGTGTCCCGATTCCATTAGTGATTCGCTTCCCACACTCTCTACCCGGAGACAGCACCACATCCCATAGGTCAGGGGTTCAGGCCCACAAGACCGCCTCCCACCATTGATGCCAGTCCCATAGAGCAGGTCACCAGGTTCCCCACGGCTCAGCCTGAGAGGGCTACAAATCGGAGATTCACTCAGCCCTCCCACCGTGGAGCTGACCATTTGCTAGAACAGCTCAAGGAACTCAGGGGAAGGAATAATTTTACCCCTCCAGAAGAGGGCAGGAGTGGCCAGGTGAAGACAACCCCCAGGGGACGACTGGGAGGATCCCAAGCACAGGCCCACCAGTGCCCCAGGACTTGGGTGGCACCACTCTCCTGGAATGTAGAGGTGTTAATCCTCCTGGAAGCCCCCAAACCCCATTAATGTTGGGATTTCCTAGGGGCTTCCTCGTGTTGTCATGATTGATTATTGATTGCTTGTCCCGGGCCTTTCCATGCTCTGGAAAATGGGGGGATGGGGCTGAATGTTTCATCCTTCTAATCATGGAAAGCTTCTCTGGAGAGCAATCCGCATCTGGGGCCAATTGAGCCTCCCTCGGGGCCTCTGGTTAGGACAAAAGGTGCCCCTCGTGCTCCTATAGCTTGGAGGGTCCATCAGGGGCAGGGGGAGTGGTACAACGCCCCGTCCAGGTGAGCACCCACCAGGGGCCAAGCCCGATGGCCTGGGCCTCAGAGTCCTCCCTGCCACCAGCAGGTGTCCAGCAGTCCTCCGGGGGGGGACATCATGCCAATGCTCCACGTCCAATGATTAGGAGACCATAGGAGTGCCGGGCACCGATGCCACCTGCAGCCTGACACGGGCCCCCACCCACACGGCCTCTTAGCAGCGCCTTGGGGTCACTGAGATTCCTACTTGGAAGCCAGGCCCCAGGGCTGCGTGGGGGCAGGACCGAGTGTGGGAGGAGGGAGAGGATTGCACACGCACAGGACTGGAAGAGCTGTGGCCCTTGCAGGGCCACCCTGGGGTTCAGGCGTGGCCCTGGCCCAGTCTGGCCCCTTCTCTCCCAGCTGACTGGGGCCCCACATCATCTCGCAGGCTCACTGCCCTGGGCAGGCTACATGTCAGCCAGCCAGCAGGCCAGCAGGTCAATACCCCACCCAGGGGGTCTCAGGACCCGCACTGCATCCCCACAGGGGGGCGGTGCCCGTGAGCGGCAGCACTGGGGAGGGAGCAGTTGACAGTGGGGGAGACAGAACCAAGCCGCAAGGTCTGCAGGCTGAGGCCACGGTCAGGAGAGACAGGGCAGGGCAAGAAGCAGGGGCCGTCAGGGCTGCCGGCTGGGCCTCAGGAGCAGGATGCCCCTGATTCTGGCCCGGCCACCGGACAGCGGGCTGCCTGCCTCCTGAAGGAGCCTCGTGTGGGGCCTGAGGTAATTCATGGCCGTGTCTTGGGGACCCGAGGGTCAGGTAGCAGGAAGGACTGCCCACCGGCCCTCTCTTTCGTGCACAGAGGCTCGTCTGCAGAATTCCCCAAAGTGCCCACCGGCTGTGGGGCGGGTGCTTCCAAGGCAGGATCACATCTGATTGTCACTACTTTGCACACTCACGTGGCTAGGTGGTTCAGGGGCAGCGATCCCTCCTCACTCCTAGCACCTTGCTGCACTTCCCATGGCAGGAACCTCGAAAATCTCCACGAGCTGACAATGTGCTCTTTCCCCTGATGCACTGCCATCTGCCAGTCTCTGTTACTGTCCCATTTCAGGAGAGACCGGCACACGGGACCACTGGCGACTGAGGACCGTTAGTGGTTGGGAGAAGGTCCAGCCTTATTGTAACGTCCACCACCACACCCCTGCCCTAAGAATTTGCTGTTCCCGTGACATATCCCAGGATGGGAGAGCAAGGGGAACCGAAGAGAAACTGAGCAGAACGAGCTGTCTGCACACGACCCTCCCAGACCACATAGGATTCAATGGCCGTGACGCTGGGGCAGGCTTCTTGTCCCGCTGGGGCAATGACATCTCCCACAGTTCCAGGAGAAGCTCAGGGCTGGCAGGCTGTGCAGGTCTCAGGGCACCCTCCCCGCATTCCTTCGTGACAGTGGTCGCTTGACACAGTCCCCGAAGGCGGCGTGACCATAGGCCCCTCGTGACCTCACTCTTCACACACAGGGCCTTGCAGGGAGCAGAGCTCAGCCACTGTGTGGCCGTGAGGGAGCTGCCAGCAGGGCTCCCTGGCCTCAGCAGACCCTTCTCTCCTATTCCTGAAAATCCAAGTGAATGCAGGAGCGCACATCTACTTTACTTTGGAAAAATAGGCACACTGCAAGGGTAAGAAGCAAAAGTGAACAAGGTTTATTTTCCTATTTCCTCACTCCAGCACTTGCCTGCTGCACTCTTGGCCTTTCCAACAGATTCCAACGCCATTGCCCTGTGATTTCATCCAGAACCCAAACAAGGAGGGCGGGTCTCCTGACTTGTATCCAGGACATGACAGAACACTCTAAATCTTGAACTGGTGAAGTACGAACGCGACGGGGTGGGCGTGTCACTCACACACTGGGCTGGGAAACCTTCTATCTACAAGGAACAAACATGGGGAGCTTCCTCACAGAAACCACTCTGGATGTCGGGGTCATCGCAGAGCCCAGGCCCCCAGAGAGGCTCTTGGCCCTGCTCTCCCCCTACCTGCCCTGGCCCTAAACTCCTGAGATCGCCCAGGACTTCCTCTTTACACACCCAACAGGACAACACCGGGAGGAAGCACCCTAATGCCTCCCTTCATATCGGCCCCAGAAAAGCTTGGAAAGGGCCTGGCTGCCCCTGGAGCTGCGGTCCCCTCTTCCTTATCTCAGAATCTGTTTCTCACAGGACCAAGGAGGACCCCAGGTTGTTGCTACCGACCTGGAGCATGTAGTTCATGACCTGCAACTTGCTGGTTTCCTCGGAGGCCCTGGGCCCCCACAGGAACTCATTGCGGGCAGGGTCGCTGCCCGCCACCTGCCGGCGCTCCAGGTAACCTTCCTGCACCCAGACGTTGGTGAGGAGGTCCCTGGGCTCCCCATAGACGATGTGTTCTTGGCCATCGTACACCCCGTATGACCCCAGAGCCTCCCACACCTCCTCCTCGGGACACATCCGTCCTGCAGGAGGATCAACCCCAGGACCAGCCCCAGGAGGCCGGTCTTGGGGAGACCCCACTGATCGCTCAGCATCCCATCCCAGGTGAGGCCCAGGATGGGGTTGAGGACGTAGGAGTGCTCGCTGGGATCCACTTCAATCACGTCTAGGCCAAAGACCAGCCGCAAGCAGATGGATGCTTGGCTCAAGATGGCGGGGAAGTCGTCCTGGTATTCTGGGGTGAAGACCTCCAGCATCTCTGCCTTGCTGGTGGGCTGCTTGTTGCGATACTTGAGGAGTAGGAACATCACCAGCGCAGCCATCTTCATGTGGAAACTGCCCTCCACCAAGGGCTCCTCGTCTCCTGCCTCCCCTGGGCCACTGGGGCCAGGAGGCTCGGGCTGGCCAAGGTCACCAGCTGCCCCACCACTGGGGGAGGGTTCGGCACTCTGAGAGCTCTGGGGAGCACTCAGGGCCCCTGGAGCAGCAGACCCCTCCTCTGGGGGGCCGAAAGACCATGCCAGAGAAGGACAAGGAAGGGCAAGACGAGGAGGAGGAGGAGGAGGACAGAGAGAGATGAGATAGGTGGTGCATGGGGAGATGGAGGTAGAGGAGGGAGGTGGAGTCTCCTCCTCCTCTTTCTCCTCCTCCTGAGCCCCAGACAGCTGGGCATCCACCAGGCCCTGGGCCTCCTCTAGGTCTTCTCCCTGCTTCCAAAGCTCACTGCTCTTCCCTAGGGGCATGGTGTCAGATTCGGGCTGAACCTGAAGAGAGAGGAGGGAGAGCTTCTCAGGGGGAAGCCGGGCCAAGATACCCCGAGGTGCCAGGGCTGACAGGGAGCCATGCCTGGCTCCCCTGCAGAGGGCTCCCCTGTTTTGGGCTGGGAGAGCCACTGACATAAGGCTCAGAGAGAGCGTGCACCTCACCTCGACAAGAGGCACTGCCCCGCCCCTGCTATGCTATGTGACCTGAGGGATCCCCGCCTCAGAGGGAGGCCTCCGCTGCCAGTTTGAAGTCCCTGAAGGAGGGAAGGAGGAGGCACCTCAGGGTGCACACTGCCAGCCCAGCCCTGGGGCCCAGTGTGGACAGGAGGGCTATCTGGCACTCTGGGAGGTCCCCTGCATTCCAGGTGAAGCAGTACCCCCTGGGCCTCTCAAGGGCCTGCCCCGGCCCTGTCCTTCTCAGGCCAAATGTCTCTGCAAGAACACAGAGCCCCGACACTCCACAGGAGGAAGCCAGGGGCCCAGCCCTGGCCACACCTTCCAAAGCCTCCAGGACTCCTCCTAGATCATGCACAAGGGATGGGCCAGTTCTGGCTTCCATCCGGGATGGGATGGGGGAGCCTCTGGGTCTTCACCTGGACCCCACGCAAGGCCTGGGAAGACTCTCCGGCTAGCCCTGCAGCCACCCTCCTTGCACCTTCCTTGCAAGGGCCCCTGCCACGACCCTCCACCAACCAAAGTCCAGGAAAATCATTCGGCCCACCCTCCCGCCCCTTCCCATGGCCTGCACAAGAGTCCGGGGTGGCCTGGTCCCTAGGGATTCTGCTGTGGGAGGCACCCCTTATGTCTCACCTCAATCCCCGCCAGTGCCAGGACCAGGGCTAGGGCAGGGCACCTGCCTCCTCTGCTGACCTGAGTCTAGACCCTCAGGCCCTGGGCCTCCCTTCCCTGAGCCCAGGGATCTGGAGAGGAGGAGGGGCTCTGCGGGACAGGCCCCACCCTGGGTTCCCTTCCCAGGGCTGCCAGGGAGGGGCACCCAGATTTCAGGACCATCCCCTCCTGGGCCTGAGTGCTGGCTTGGTAGCCACTCATTCTTTCAATGTGGGGTGGGTGGGGTTCCTCACACAGACTCTTGGCAGGCCCTGGGACTCCTGGGCATCTATCCTCCAGGTGGGCCTCCTCCCACACTCTGACTGGGACCTCTCCCAGGGGGGTCCTCAACTCCCTGAGAACTGGGAGAGGAGCAGGAGGAGGTACCCTGTTATGTCCTATGTCCCCGTCCTGTCCTGTGTCCCCGGCCAGGCGGGTCACAGCTGCAAAGCCCCCACCAAGTCCCCAGCAAGATCAGGAAGGGCTGGCCTGTAGACCGGACCCTCTGTCCTGGGGCGCTAATGCCCTCAGGCCCCCGGAAAGGTCCTCTGCATTATCCTGCCAGGGCCTGCTCTTCCTCCGGGCCCCCAACCTCCCATAGAGGACACGTGCCCCTCACACCAAGTCCTTATCTCTGAAGGAGCTGCTGAAACAGAATTTGTGGATGTGCAAAGCAGCATTTCAGGTCAAGAACTCCCTGGAACCTCATCAAAGTTATGCCGGGCCCCTGTCTATGGAGCTCTTGAAGGGTCAAGAGTACCCGTTATTTGAGTGTCTGAACTGGTGAACAATTCAACTTTTGATGCTTTTGGGGGTTGAGATCACCTGTAACTAAGTATGCTCTTCCTTATCTGTCTGGAAAGTATTTCTTTCTTACCAGAGCATGAGCTACAGGGTAAGCTGGACCCCAAGATGAGTCTCTGTTTCCTCACCTTTATTTAGCTTTATGTCTCAGGGCATGCTGTATGAGCTTTTGGTGCCTCAGTGATTTTTCTCTATTCTGTATTTGAATAGTCACTTGGAAGCTCCTCGAGGCTGGGAATTAGACTCTACCCATAGGAAGGTCAGGGTAGCTGGATGAAAAACAGACACCCCTCAGATTCGACAGCTGAAAAACCTGTATATGTTACTCATCCTTAAAACTAACTTATATAATAATACACATTCTCCAGTGAGTGTTGGAAAGCCTAATTAGAAATTGTGAAATGTGCCCAAGTTCTCAGATTAAAGGTGATACATCATGGGAAATCATGAGTTGATACTTTGATTATGATCAATCAAGTAATAATGATTCTCTCAAGCTTTCCTTAAATAAGTAGCATAAAATTGCCTATTTTAAACTCTGCTATTGTGTAAAGTTTGACATATTAATATTGTGTAAAGTTTTCCACACTATTATTATTGTGTAAAGTATTATTACTATATTATGAAAATAATATTTATTATTTATATAATAATATAAATATTATAATTATAATATAATGATAAATAATACATAAATATAATGTAAATTATAATGGAAATAATATATAAGTTAATAATAAATACAATATATAATATCAATAATATAATTGATATTATAATAACAATGAGATTATTCTGTAACTTTTTCCATATTGTGTAAAGTTTTCCATATTAATACATGAAGAATGCTGAAGGTATTGCTGTAATCACAAAAACTCTCAAATTGGCTGGAAATGAAGACAGTATACTAGGTCACCTTCTGTGATGCGGTGTAGTGTGGTATGTCTTAACACAAACTAAAAGAACACCTGCAAAGCCTGGGATTTTAATTTTGATTAAATACATGGAAGGAAATTTCCACCAAATCACTAGGGGACAACTAAACAAAGCTGGTTCGGTGAAAAGATGAAAAATATTGACAAACATTTAGTAAGACAGAGAGAAAAAAGAAGACTCAACTACTGAAATAAAAAATAGAAGTTGGGGTAGTATTATAGATCTTTTGTTTAAAGAAGAATTTATTTATTTATTTATTTATTTATTTATTTATTTATTTATTTATTTATTTATAAGAGAGGCAGAGACATATGCAGAGGGAGAAGCAGGCTCACTGCAGGGAGCCTGATGTGGGACAGGACCCCAGAACCCGGGATGACGCCCTGAACCAAAAGAAGTTGCTCAAGCCCTGAGCCACCCAGGCACCCCAGTATTACAGGTCTTAAGGAAACAAACAGGATTCTAATAGGGTACTCTGAACAATTATGCTCCAAGAAATTATATAAACTAAATGAAGTGGGTATATTTTTAAAAACATAAACAACCAAAAGTAACTCAAGAAGAAAAGATTATTCAAACAGATCTAACAGGTCAGGAGAATGAATCTGCGTTCAAAAATCTCACAAGAATGAACATCCAAGACCGGTGACTTCACTCATGGATTCGACAAATACTTGAAAGAAGAACTTATACAAATCCTCAATTTCTTCCCACACTATGGAAGAGGAGGGAATACTTCCTGTCTCGTTCTGTGAGGTCAGTAGTACTGAGGTAGTAAAGCCTGACAAAGACATTTAAAAAAAAAGTAAACTAACACTCTTTCATGATAAAAAAAAACTTTCAAGAAACTAGAAATAAAACTTTAACATGATAAAAGGCATTCACGAAAAATCCACATCTAACATACTGAATGGTCAAAGACTGAAATTTTCCATTAAGCCAAGAAATAAGAAAGAAGCCAAGGGCCGCCTAGGTGGCTCTGTCAGTTAAGCAGCTGGCTCTTGATTTCTACTCAGGTCATGGTCTCAGGATTGTGAGATCAGGCCCTGCATTGGGCTCCATGCTCAGGGGCGTCTGCCTGAGATTCTCTCTCTCCCTCTTCCTCTCCCTCTCCCCCTCCCTGTCTCTCTAAAATAAATAATAAATAACATTCTTTTAAAAGCCGAGAATGCTGCTTTTGCTACCTTTATTTTTATTATACTGGAAGTGCTAGCCAGAGTGATTAGGCAAAAAAATATTTTTAATACATAATAAATAAATAATCGTAATAATAAAGACAAACAAGTGGGAGAAAAAAGTGAAAAAAAGGAGTAAAAGAATCAAATACTTAAAAATGCGTTTATCCAAGGAAATATAAGACATGTATACTACAACTTACCACATATTGCTCAAAGAATTTCAAGCAGTTTTCAGTATTTGGAAAGATATCTTGCATTCATGGAGCTGAGGACTTAATTTTGTTAAGATAGCAGTTGTACTAGAGCAATTTGCGGATTCAATTCAATCCCAATAAGAAATCCCAACAATCCTGCTTGAAGAAACGGAGAAGCTGATTCCAAAGTGTATATGGAGGGATGCCTGGGTGGCTCAGGCATTGAGCATCTGACTTTGGCTCAGTGGTGGTGATCCCAAGGTCCTGGGATCGAGTACCACAGGGAGTCTGCTTCTCCCTCTGCCTATGTCTCTACCTCTCTCTCTGTGACTCTCATGAATAAATAAATAAAATCTAATAAATAAATACAGAAGTAAAGAAAGTATCTATGGAGTGCAAATGCCCCATTGGATAATTATGTTGGTATCCTTTGGGTAAATACCTTGTAGAAAAAACCGAGATGTCCATTAATAGATGAATGGATAAAGAAAATGTGAGATATATAGTGGAATATTACTGTCTGGCACATTGGTGGTAGGAATGAAAAAATGGTGCAGCTGTTGTGAAAGATGTTTGCCAGTGGTAAAAGTCTATCAGTTTGTCAAAAAGTTAAACTTTTTAAAATTTATATTTTTTACTTTAATTTATATTAATATCAATTCCACGCCTTTGTATATGCTCAAAAAAAATGGAAAACAGGCATTCAAACAAATACCTCTGCAGAAATGTTCACCAAAATTCACAGTAGCAAAAGGATGAAACGACCCAAATGTCCATCAATTTGCGAATGAATAAGCAGGACGTATACGGGTATAAAGAAATATTCAGCCATAAAAAAGAATGAAGTCCCGATAGAAGCTTTACCATGAATGCACCTGAAAGCTGCTGAGTACAAGAAGCCAGACACGACGATATCATATTGTAAATTCCGTTTATATGCAACGCACAGAACGGGCCTATTAATAGATAAAGCAGAGTAGCAATTAACAGGGTCTGAGGGAGGAGGGAATGGGCAGTGACCACTGAACACATGCAAGGT